CAGAACAGAACAGAACAGAACAGAACAGAACAGAACAATTAATCAGTGGAGCAGAAGTTGCCTCCAGAAGTTGTGAATGCCCCAACACTGGAAGTCTTTAAGAAGATGTTGGATAGCCATTTGTCTGGAACAGTGTAGGGTTTCCTCCCTAGGCAGGGGGTTGGACTAGAAGACCTCCAAGGTCCCTTCCAACTCTGCTATTGTATTGTACTGTATTGTAATATATTCTGGTCAACCCGTGCTGGCTGGGGGATTCTGGGAGTTGAAGTCCACACCTCTTAACAGTGAAAAGGGTCCAGAAACTGTGCTCCACAGGAAGATCCTCCCATCGCCGAGATCTCACCTGTTGGTCCAGTAGCAACCCTCACCACAGGCTTGGGATCTGGCCTCAAGTTGAGAGTGATCTGGTTCACGTCCGGCGCTGTACGGATCAACCAAACCAGGGACGGTTAAGGTGGAAGGAAGAAGGAACAGTAAAGACAATCCTTTCTCGTGACCAAATGACTTTACCTAATTTGGTGCAAATGCCATTTTTTGCATCGTATTTCTATTTTAGGTTTTCAGTCGTCTCGTTTTTATTCCCTATTCTCCCGCTGAATTTCAGTTTTTTCTCTTACTATGTAAACCCTCTCCTTTTGCCTCTCCAAGTGAATCAAATTTAACGTATCATTTCCATCTATTCTCTCTGTTTTTTACGATTAATAATGCATATCCCCCCGTTTAATTTGATAAGAGTAAACGTTTCATTTCGACTACCTCGAAAAGTAGTCCATTTTAATCGATATCCCACACGTTTCATTGAATAAGATACCGCTGGCTCTATTTGAGAAGTTTCCTTCCATTCTACGAGTAATTCTTTCTTTTCTCCTTTCAACCGTTCTCCCTTATATCTACCAGCAGTAGTTATTTGATTCAGCTAGAATCAATTTCAGGCAGAAATCTACTCCAAGTAACTTCAAGGAGGCGGACAATGATTTCTAAGCTTGGCAGAGATCAGCCTGGCCGCTCCCCAAGCCAGATGAGGTCTGTGACCGTAAATCCTCCTTTGAAAGACTTTGCTGGATGCGAAGGAGCAGAATTCACAGCCAATAAATCAAAGGGGTTTTTGTCAGGAGTTTGCTTCCTGCTCTCGGGAAGCTGGTCAGGACAGGTCACCAAATGGGGCGAAATTTACTGAACAAGTGTCTCGCTTAGCGATAGAAATGTTGGGGGCTCCCTGGTGGTCGTAAGTGAAGGATTACCGGCACAATGTCTCCTGGGAGCCACTACGGGGGCTGTCGGCCCGACACGAACCCTCCAACACCACTGCTCTGGGGCACGAACCATAACCTGTACGTGTGTATTCTCCTACCTGGTTCGGCGGCCTGAGGACTGACCTCCCCGCCCTGGCAGTTGGGCGGGTTGAAAGCGTTGGCCACGTGGCTGACCATGGCTTCTGGGGCGAGGGCCTCCGCCTGCGGGAGCAAGAGAGAGAGTGGAGGGGTGGTCTCTTGGCCCAAAGGCCCCCCCAGCGGGGTCCTTCACACAATTCCTTCATGCTTTGCTTTCATTTAACAGCCAGGGCCGAGGGAGGAAATGCAAGCAGATTCGAGGTTTTGCACAGCTTCAAAGCCCCCCCAGAAATTGGAGGAGGAGGAGGAGGAGGAGGAGGAGNAGAGAGAGAGAGAGAGAGAGAGAGATTTATAACCTTTTTTGGGCCCCGCCTTAGAGCTTCCTGTTCCTGGGTAAGAAATGTATACCAATTGGTTGTCAGACTCCCATGGGACCATGCAGGGGGTCACTTTGTAGTGTCTTAAGTCCCCAGCTTGGTTGAATCTTGCTGGGTGATGTAATCTCCCTAGGTGTCTTGTGGTGAGTTCTGTTGCTAGAGGGGTAGAGGGCTAAATCCTACCTGTGTTGAAATCTCGGGTGAGGGCTTTTGCTTATGAATAGACCTAGCTCTCTCTTTATTTCTCAAGGGTGGGCATCTGCTGTGGGCTATCGAGGAGGGCGGGGGGGCTATTGAGAGTGAGTCTGTTTCCTGCCTAAAAAAAACAGGTTTCTCAATCACCTAGCTGGTTTTTGTGCCTAAGCTGGGACTAGAACTCACTGTCTCCTGGGGATTGGCTCAAAATCACCCGGTTGGCTTTCGTGCCTAAGGAGGGACTAGAACTCACGGTCCCCTAGTGATTGGCTCCAAATCCCCCAGCCAGCTTTCATGCCTAAGTGGGAATTAGAACTCACTGTCTTATGGAAATTGGTCCAAAGTCACCCCATCGGTTTTCATGCCTAAAGCGAGACTAGAACTCCCAGTCCCTTGGTGTTTAGTCCAGTCACCCAGTCGGTTTTCCTACATAAGATGGGACTACAACTCCCTGTCTCCTGGTAATTGGTCCAAAGCCTCCCCTTCAGCCTTTACGCCTAACGCGGAACTAGAATTCACCATCTCCTGGTAATTGGCCCAAGATCACCTAGCCGCTTTCCTACCTAAGCCAGGACTAGAACTCCCCGTTTCCTGGTGATTGGCCCATAGTCACACAATCAGCTTTCATGCCTAAAGGGGAACTAGAACTCACTGTCTCCTGATGAGCCCAAACCACCCAGCCAGCTTTCTTGCCTCGGTAGGGACTACAACTCACTGTCTCCCAGTCTTTGGTCAAAAGTCACCTAATCTAAACACTCAGCATCTCCTGTTGATTGGCCCATAGTCACCCAGTTGGCGTTCATGACTAAGGGCAAACTAGAATTCACCGTCTCCTGGCGAGTGGCCCAAGGCCGCCTAACTGTTTTCATGCCCAAGGCAGGACTAGAACTCACCGCCTCCCAGTTTCTCGCCTGGTGCTTTGACGAGTAGGCCAAACTGGTGTACTCCACTTTGCCCACGGGATCGTGGGCGCGTTCACAGCTGACGGAAAACCCCCAATATGTCATCCCTCCCCTCAATTCCCTTCTAATAATAATAATCAACTGTTTATTCCCTCCTAATCGTCAATTCTAATAATTTCCACTTTTTCACCGCCTTGTTTTCTTTTCTAATAAACTCTCTATAAAAACAACAAGAATATTGTTTATTATTCTAATAAACAATTCCCTTCTAATAATCATCTTAATTCTAATAAACTCTCNTCTGAAACGGTGTAGGGTTTCCTGCCTAGGCAGGGGGTTGGACTAGAAGACCTCCAAGGTCCCTTCCAACTCCGCTCTTGTATTATTGTAACGTATTGTAAGGTTCCAGCAGTTTTCCCAGAGCCACTGAAATGCCAAAGGGGGAGTGAGACTTGTAAAAAAATGCCAGCTTTTATTGATGGCCACAGCAAAAGCTGGGTAACAAAACTATATCCGAAGCCTAAAAAATAAATGCACGTAAGGAAGAACCACCCCCTCACCCCGCAAAAGTGGCTCAGAGGATTATATACATTTTAGGCAGATAGAAACAAAGTTTATCCACTCAAGAGACCAAGATTCCTTACCAACCTGACTTTTAAAGCATCCTTTTGTTCAAATTCCTGTCTCTGTCTACCTTATCTATGGAGAATCCCTATAGCCGTGTGCCAATCGGCTTTACGCGCCAGGGAAACTCCCTAGTTTGGTCCCTTTATCTATGGGGGGAAAGCCCTGATATTCCTATGTAACAATTTCCTCTATTAGCTTTCAAGAATGTCCCTAGCTTTGAAGCCAAGAATAGAAGCGGCGAGATAACGTTTGCAGCCCAGCGCGAAGGTCACAATTTGCCACGATTAGAAAAACCGCTGATTTCTGGCGGCCCCCAATAATAGAAGCGGAAGCCGATAACAAAGCCGAATTCTTAACGAAACGATTTCTAGCAGAATATCGTATCGGAAGCAAACAGCAAATGTGGGTTTAATCAGTAAGAATGACATAAGAACAGAAGCAATTCGTAATAAAAGCAAATTGATTCGTATACTTCTCCAATATACGCATGGAAGTGTAATAAGCAGGGATACGTTTACACGTAAGGAATGAGTACAGATAAATGGGTGTAGTAGGACAGGGACCGGGGTGAGGCTCACGGTAGACGGCTCGAGGTTGAAGCTACGGGCAGGGGTGGTGGTGAGGATGTAACAACGGAGTCAGGTAGAGCATTCCAGGCGTTGACCCCTCTGTGGCTAAAGTCGCTATTTTCTGCAATCGAGTTTTGGAGCGGTTTACTTTGAGGTTGCATCTATTGTTTGCCCGTGTAGTAGTATTGGGGTGGAAGTTGAAGTAGTCAATTTTGTCTACTAAATCCAGGTTGCTTGCATCCCCCCGCTGCGGAGTTTCTTCTCTGTCCTGGCAGGGAGTTTTATGATTTATTTCTTTTATATACCATGTTATTATTATTTTTTTATCAACTACTCAAGGTGGAGGAGAAGGTATCTAATACTCCGCTTTTCTTCCTGTTTTTCCCCCCGCAACAATAACCCTGTGAGTTGGGCTAGGGAGAAAGGGAGAGGGATGGAGGGAAGGTGGGAGAGAGAGAGGGAGAGAGGGAGAGAGAAAGAGAGGGAGAGAGAGAGAGGGACAGAGAGAGAGAGAGAGGGAGAGAGAAAGAGAGGGAGAGAGAGAG